TAACATCTAGCCCAGGGGTGTCGAATTAATTTGTTATGAGGGCTGGATCTGCCACAAATGAGACCTTGTTGGGCCGGGCCATGTGTGTCATAAAATGTAATGCCAGGTAGCGGAGATATAAACTTTATAAAAGACACAATCACAAAGGGTTGTTTTACTTAAAATAAAAACATGCTTAAAATATTAGCACTGTTGCAATATTTCGTTTATTTAACAGTGTCTGATAACTGACACCTCTTGCTCTGAATTATTGCATCAAAATGTCTGTGCCGTTGCAATCTTGAGTATGCTGTTCAGGTGTGTATCTGCAAACCTACGATGACACGGCAGCAGCAGAACTGGAAGAAGAAGCAGAAGACAGCCAGTATCACTGTGGGACTGATAGAAGCCCTCCGGGGGTCTAATCTGGTCCCCGGGCCACATGTTTGACACCCCAGATCTAGCCTGAAGACGTCTGGTGAACTCAAAAGCTGGATTTTTCTTTATTGGACCAATACAGCTGTAAACAACATCTTTCTACTTATATGATACTTGTCTCTGTTAGCCCATCTTCCATACAACAGAAGTCCGATGAGGGGCAAAGTTCAGGCAGGTTCATAAGGGCATAAGTGGTCATTTATATGCCCTGGATAGCCCCATGGAAAGTGTACTGCAGTAGTCTAACCTGTATGTGATCAGAGCATGGATACTGATGGCCAATACTTTGCTTTTCTAGGAAAAGGTGCAGCTAGGACACCAGCCAGAGCTGGGCAAAGGCACCATGTGCCACAGAGCAATCCTGCCCCTCCGACTATAAGCATGGATTTAATACTAATCACAAATCACAAATTTACACTTTCAGGGGGAGTACGACTCTCTTTAGAAGAAGCTGAATCTTCCGTCCCTGGTCAGCAGTATTACCAACCAATGGCACCTCAGTTTTGTCTGGATTGAGCTTCTGTTCCTTAGTCCTCTATCCACCACCACCTGCAGATGCCATTTCAGCTAAAAATGAGAAACAGAAAGTCTGGTACACCTGAGGGACACACATGTCCACTAAATGTGTAGGAAGCCTCCATTCCAGTGCCATTCCAGTGCCATTCCAAAACCAGCACCACTGATCACAGGGGGCATGCGTACTCACAACCACTTCCTCAGTTCAGTTGTCCCCACAGACAACCAAGTGGGTTTTTTTGGGGGGGGGGAGTCCAGTGTGCTCATCCCCTCTCCCCCTCCCATGTGAGACTGTCATGTGTATCAGGGTAGAGCTGAGTGTCAACAGCATGCTGATGATAAATCCCCAAACAACCCATTGTGGTCGAGGGCAGGCGGATCAACAGAGTCACGCTGCTTGATTGTCCTTGAAGGTTATCCATTGCTCAAGACATTTTCAGTTCCAAAACCAGGTCTGAAGACAGACTGAAAGGGATTCGGAAATACCTGTTTCATCCAAGAAAGGACAGAGATGTCAAAACTGAATGGCATTGTACTGGGTGTAGTGCAGCTCAATACCACTCATTTCTGGCATCATGAGCAGGGGGTTTCAGATCTGAAGATACTACTTCCATGCAAGTTTGAGTACATAAATCACTCTTTTTTAAAAATTATAATAATTAAAGACTGGGGATATTACAGCGTTATACAACAACCAGTCCAGACGCTAACGTCAATACGCTAAACTTCACAGGCAGACAAAAAACTGACAGATTAAACAATACCGCTTGAATCCTGCTGCAGACTCTAGTTGTATCAGATCTAAGGGTAACATACAGTAAAGAAGCTCAGAAATATCCCATGATCTAGAATCTACACGTATCTTCCCAGACAGGTCTCTATGTTGTAAGATATTAAGACGCAGACAGAAAACTTGGGCCAGTTTGATATTTGATATTTCCAGTCTTCCCAAGATAAGATACACTGACACAGCAGGATAAAAATTCATGTCCCTTCTGTGCCATATGACAGTTTATCATCTCTGCACTGGAAGCTTAACATGCTTGTAAAAAAAACATTAAGTGCAGTATTATGTGACTGTTCTAATAATAAAATCACAGTAAAACCAAGGCCTCAAGGGAAAGCACACATCATGTTTCCACTAAAAAAGCCACATTCTGCCATGCATCATGTCATTCAAACATGTCATTTAAAGTGAGAGTAGAAAGCAGGATTAATACATGAATGAGGCAGATATTCTGGAGTAATCTTTAGCATATGCTGCATTAAATCTATCCTGTGAGTGGCTGCTTAAATTCCACATCGATCTGAACCTCTGAAAACACATGAGTAATATACTTTGCTCAGACTTAAAGCATCACTTTGAGTTAATATCCTCCTGTGGTCTGCTTGGAAAATTTCTCTTGCTTGGAACTCTTGTATTCGGTTCACTTTGGGACATAGACATAGTTTATGCAAGTATTTTTCCTCTAGAGAAAAATGCCATTGGTTCCGTGGCATAGTATCTGCTCTGTACGCCGAAGGTTCCAAGTTCAATCCCCAGTATCACCAAGATTGGTGTTTTTTTTTTAAGGAACAGATAGTAGGTGATGTGAAATAGGTCTGTCTTAGGCCATCCAGAGGCACTGCCGGTCAGTGTTCCCCCTAAGCTGTGGAGTCTTTGCGAGCAAAAATTCCACTTTGTGAGCTACTGGCATTAAAGTTGTGAGTAGGTGATTTGGCTACTGCACAAATTAGTTTGCCCTGGAGTCCTCCTTCCTGAGCTAAGACAAAAATGTGTGAGCCGGAGGCTAAAAAACTGTGGGCTAGCTCACACTAACTCAGCTTAGAGGGAATACTGCTGCCGGTCAAAGTAGACAACACTGACCCTGATCGACCAATGCTCTGACTCGGGGTAAGGAAGCTGTGTTCATGTGTTCCAGTAAATTTAAGACGACAACATATCAGACATTTAATATAGCAAATGATCTTTTTCAGAAAGGAAAACAACAGGGAATAGAAGAAAATAATACATAAAGTAAAGAACAAAGGGTTAGCGTTAGCGATAAGTACAGGTGAGATTCTAGGTCTAGGTCTAGGTCTTGAGATTCTAGGTCTAACTGAAACTGAGGTTGTGGTCACACGTGCGAGATAAACCGGGGGGGAAGCGAGGCTATTTCCTCCGGAGGAATTTGACCCGCAGTTGCGCGAACCCACAGTCCGTGGAAGCTGCGGGCTCAGCCCGCCATTGCAGTCAGGGTTTTTCTTTTGCTGTTTGTTTCCAATGTGCTTAAACAAGGAATCGATGAACTGCACCTCTGCACTGAGGGCTCCCTATGAAGCTTGCGATGATGTGCATACTGAGAAGGGGCGGGGGGAACAACGGCACAGAGTCGGGATGGCCTGATCAGACCATCCCGATGCCATGAGAGCACGCTGGAGCGATCAGACAGGGGAAACTCCGTTCATGGCCCGTTGCAACCCGTTTACTACTGGATTTTCCCCAGTGTCTTTTAACTCTGCTTCTGTGGCGGAGCAGAAAGGGTTGCCAGCAGCTGCGGGGTGCTTCCCAGATGATGTTGTCTGATTGCGCCCTTTAAATCCACCCAGCATTCACGCCTATGGTGGGTCTAATTATGCGTAGGATCGCAGCCTGACTGAAGCTTCCTACTGGCAGTGAGTTTAAGACAAGGATTTCCAACCTTTTCCAGCCTGCAGGCATCTTTAGAATGCTGAAACAGGATGGTGGGCCCATCTACACAATGCTTGCCACAAAACATCAGGGAGTGCGGTGATACATAACTCTAATAAGAGCTCTTCAACATTACAGGCAGAAACTCTGCTTAATAGCATGCATTTTAAAGAAGAAGAGGAAGAGATTGGATTTATACCCCGCCCTTCACTACCCAAAGGTGTCTCAGAGCGGCTTACAAACTCCTTCCCCCCCCCACAACAGGCACCCTGTGAGGTAGGCAGGGCTGAGAGAGCTCTTGACAGAAACTGCTCTTTTTTAAAGAACAGCTCTTATCAGAACTACGGCTTGCCCAAGGTCATCCAGCCAGATACAAGTGGAGGCGTGGGGAATCAAACCCAGTTAAAAATTAACACATTGTTTAAAATATTTTCTTGCATACATACAAGTAGCCATGCAGTGAAGATCTTTGTGCTGTGGAGGCAGCAGCTGCTGAAGCAGCTTCTGAAAAATCTGCCGAGTCAGGCAGATCTCCAATGGCCAATCAGAAGCCCAGCTGGGCAAAAGTTCCATCCGGCCCTGCCCCATTTCCTAAGACCTCTTGGTGGGTGCCAGGAAAGATGATGGTGGGTGCTGTGGCACCCCTGGGGGCCACGCTGGGTACTCCTGGTTTAACCAGTCACTCTGTTTGGCTTGCATGTTTCTGAACAGATACGGTTTTCTTTTGGAACATCTACCGAAGCCCGCTTTTCCCCACTTTTAGAAAAGATAAAAGTGTGGAATCATAGGGATGGGCAAGCAGTGGTAGTAAGTTTGTTGCCAAAATCCCCCAACTCACCCATTTTTTAAAGGTTTTTTAAAATCAAAATTTTAGTATAATATAATACTATAATATTATTGCACATATAAATGGCGTAACTAAATGAAAACATAAAGGCATTAGGTTACAATATAATGCCTACTACAGCAAGTTAACTATCAACAGATAAACATAAGGGACACGGAGCTACAACATCTGTAAGAGAAGAATCATACCCTGCATTGTAGTATCTAAAAGGTAAATCAAAATGATCACTGCCCTCAGAAGAATGCATGTACAATGAAAACAAAAAGTAAATACTGAAATTAGAGGTAGGAAGGGAATACCGTCAACTTATAGAGGTCTCAACAGCCGGCAATTTCAGAGGGTGCTTTAAAAGTGAAGCCATGCACAGCAAGTAGTATTAGATGGTTGAAGATCCTGATCTGTCATATACTGTAACACAGGAGCCCGGTGAGGACAAAATTCGAGTAAACTTTTTGGCAGCCAGTATGGGCTGGAGGTAAATGGTCAGTGAGTTTGGATATGATAACCCGATCCCATATTTTGTCATGCCATATCTTCAGTTCAACTTACCCATAATGCTATCTGTTCCGTTTGCAGGTGGTGTACAGGAAGAAGTGTTGTAATGGGTCGTGCCACTACGATGGAAAGTGGACATTGGAGGAAGACTGGAATTGATGTCTGAGGAGGAGTGTGATGGGTAGCTCTGCAAGAGAAAACCAAGGCAAGAGACTGTTTCAGATGATAAAGAATGCATTACGGTGGGGTCCATGTGGTTTTGCGACGATCATCATATTCCATTGTCTTTCCACGCATAGGACATTTACTGGGCAGATCTTCCAGCTTCAAAAACAGTTGCGACATACTAATCAACATATATCTTGTGGTTGAAACAAGGTGAGAGGCGCTCCTCCCCCCCTTGCAACTCTAGTAGGATGTCCCTCGGTCATTGTTCCGTCCTTCCCTCCAGCTTCCAAGGCCCCAGAATGGGTCACGGAGGAGGTTAAGTCACCTGCACCCTCCTGGCTTGTTCTCTAGAATAGAACACGCCTTTCTGTTTCCTCTCTGACCTTTGGGAATACCCTCCCTTTACCGTGTAGTGCTCCGTCCCCATCTCTGACCGCACCCCTCCCTTCCAGACTCTTACAGGGATGGGTAGGACCGTGTCGCCCAGCCCCGCTTTCCTAAGACTCCTGCCGTTCGCTGGGAAGGTGTGAATGCCAGCAGAGCATCTTCTTGCTGTGCCCGCCCTGAAGGGTGTGGGGGCGGTTTCTGCAAGGGCTCCTCACTCTCTTCCCCCGGAGGGAGGGTCAGTTGCAACCTCGGGACTGCATATTATTTATTTATTTATTATTTATTAATCAAATTTATATCCTGCCCTCCCCAAACGGGCTCAGGGCGGCTAACAGAAGGGGCATATGCCATAATTCCACAACTAAAAACAGAATAAAACAATTGATCACAAACAAAGTGCCGGTGCTCTAGAGAATAAGCTCTTATCAATCCAAGATGGGATTCCATTAACCATCATAACCCATCAGCATAAGTTCCGGATAGTACTGTCGTCCTTTCATAGCCAGTTCTTCAGGTCGTCTGGTTGTCTGCATGTGTCACCACCCACCCTTTCCTGCTGCGGGGTTTACCCCCTGGCCCTTGACCAGGAGCAGACCAGCTGATGGACGAGGGATTCCAGCTTCCATCAGGAAGGTAAGGTGTTCCCTTGCTCTCCCGACCTGCCTACTGCCCTGATGCTGTCTGGTCTGCGGCGGGGAGGGACTGTCCTAGTCCGGGATCACTGCTGGTCCCGGACACAAAACAACAGCATCAGTCTTAAGAGTTTATAGGGGTTTGGGTTTGTATTTTTCATATGCGCATGTGTATGTGTGTGTGTGTGCACACCTGGAAGTCATGGCAACCTCTGGTGACTGACCCCTACCGGGCTCCTGGAGGATATTCAGAGAGGTGGCTGAATAAAGCCTGCCCCCGCCTCCCGACTGCTGGTATTCCAAGGAGGTCTCCCATCCAAGTGCTTGCCAGAGTTGACCCTGCTTAGCTTCCGAGATCGGGCTTGCCTGGGCTGTCCAGGTCAGGGCCAGTAATGACGGGTTTTGAACATCAGCCTTCAAGAGCAAGGACTAGTTCTGTGCTATCTGCACAAAGAGATGTGAAAATGTGTGTGTGTGGGGGGGGGGGGAATGCCCCCTTTTGAGACTTCCCTCTCCTAGTTTTTTTCAATATGAAAAAAGGGAAGTTTGGGGGAGAACGCAAAATGTAGACGACTATAATCTCTCTGTATGCTGCAGACACACACAATGTATTTTCAGTGATATTTTATTGTTTAAAAGTGGCTAATTTATCCCATAATGATTGTTAGGATGCATAAGATGACAATACACTACCAAAGAGTTTGACGTTTCCAGCGCTGTAAATTCAATATCTGAATATGCTGCTGTTGTGACTGTATGGATCTGTTTCTGTCTAAATAATGCACTTTCTTCTTATTACTAAAACAATTGTTTTCTATTCTCAACCCCCTTCTCCCTTCCAGATGGTTAAAACTGAGACACATGAGCTCATGTTGCATTGGGTACAGCAGTGTACAGCCCCCCCCCTCTAATACAGGGTATATTTACAATTCTGCTTGCAGAAAACGAAAGCATCTGTCCTGGTAGATTTTAGCAAAGATGCCAAACAGTACAACTACAGTACAACTTCGGTTCAGTTCAAAGTTTATTTCGATACAAGATCAGTAATAATAAGGAAAAAGATAAGGAATCATTAATAGTAAGATTTAAAAAAAAAACAAAGAATAAAGCTTCCTTTATCCCTGCAGCAATCAAGGTCTACCACGGAAAGATCGTCTCCCAGCCCTTATATGGTTCCCATCTCTGTATTTATAAAGAGAGGTGCTTAACGGAATCAAAGCTCCTACGATCAATCACTGGAGTTCCGCGATGTATCCCAAATGCCCTTCTTAGATTAGAGACTGGACTGATCCGCTTGAAGACTCATATGGGACTACTTGTATCTAACTATTGGCTAAAACTCATCTTCAATCCCGTGGGCCCAGCACCCTTGATCTTTACCAATAGCCACCGTTCAACCTGGCAAAGAGCAATTGGGGGGATCTCTAGGAGCATGGCCTCACCCCCCCCAAGTCCAGCTGCATCTTGGCTACCAAAAAGCTAAAGAAACAATTAAACGGCAGCTCCGGGATCATGTTCCCTACAATCAGATAGGGCAGACAGAGAAATATCCAATTATCCTGCAACAGACCAAATGCTTCCAACCAGCGGATTATCTTAGATCCCTTGGGATCTCCAAATATCGGAGAATCTTTACCCTTGCATGCTTTAACATTCTGCCGTCAGCCCTCTTGGAAGGTAGGTATCATCGCGTCCCACTCCCTCAATGGCTCTGCCCAGGCCATGCAGGGAAAGCAGAGTCTATCCGCCATGTTCTGCTGCACTGCCCATTCTACAAATGACATTCGCTCTCAGTACACAGCCCCAAACCTATCAACTCTACCAGGAAGATCTGAACAACTTTACATCTCTCTCCTTATCGCAGATGCCTCCCAGGAGACCACAAATAAAGTAGCAAAATTTTTGCCTTCGGGCGTGTGGGATACGCAAGCTGCTGACTGGGTCTTAATGATGGCCTGTCGGAGGAAGGCACCACCTCCCCGTCCCCTCACAATCAGCGCTCATTGTCGCACTGTCCCTTACTTCATATTTTACTCTTTATTTTTTGAATCTACAGTACAACTACATACACTAAAGTCACAAATGATAAGATTTTGTTTTGTTTCGTGCAGTAAAATAAGTTCAGCTTTGATACGAACGTGAGCATGTGTTTTCATTGTTCACAAAACATCCAAGCTTTTATTTTAAAAAGCCCGGGAGGGGGGAAACAAATCTTTGCCCTGCTTTGCCAGAGAGTACAAAATAACTCTCAACAATATATACAATAACCGTGAACATTATTTCAACCAAAAACAGCTGAACAGAACAGGAGCCACAACAATATCTATAATATACCTATAGATTAGGGTAGCCAGGTCCCTCCTGGCAAGGGGTGGGGGATGGGGGGGAATTACCAGGAGAAAAAGAAAGACCCAGGCCTCATTGTTGGTGTCCCACAGGAAGTGACATCACCACCCTGCGACACGCTGGTATTTGGGCAAAAACTCTATGGTGAAACCGGCTCGTATGATGACGTCACTTCCTGTGTGACCCGGGCAATGAGCCTGGGCCTTTCTCTTTCTCTTGGTAAGCCCCTGCTGGTCAGTTGATTGGTGGCTGGGGGGTCAGGGCCTGACTGCAGGGGACCTCCGCCTCCACCGGGGTGGGTGAGTCTGGCAACCGTAATATCGATGGAGCCAATGAAAATAATTTAAATCAAAAATATATCAGTGATGTGAAAAGCGCCAGACGAAATACTGAGCGACTAGCGCATAAGTGGTCAGAGTATTGGACAGAGACCTGGATTCAGCTGCTTACTTCCTGATGAAAGTTCACTGCATCGACGTGGGGCAGTTAACCCTTTCAGCCTCACCAATCTCACAAGATTGCCGTGTGGCAAAAATGGAAGCAGGGAGATCTAGATATGCTGCTTTAAGCCCCTTGCGGGGAGGCAGGGAGGCGAGGTATAGGGCAGTCTCATCAGGTCTCAGGAGCTAAGCAGCTCAGTACTTGGAACAAAGACAGCCAAGGAAGATTCTGCAGAGGAAGGCAACGGCAAACCACCAGCTGCTTGCTAGTGTGGCCATAAGTCGGCTGTGACTCGACAGCACTTCACACGTACAAGCCCCACGGAGGAAGGCGGTGATAAAAACCCAGAGGGTGGGAAGGTTCATGCAGGGTATCCTCACGGAGAGGATACAATCCCATTCAGGTTCCCGGGACCCCGACCATAGAAGGCCATAAAAATCAATGCCGGCACTTTGAATTGCACCTGGAAATAAACTGGAGGCCCCTGTAAATCTTTCAGTAGTAGAATCACCACAAGATGTTTCCATCAACACATTTCACTGCCGCGCATCAGGCCAGCTTAAGTTTCTAAGAGGTATTCAAGGCCGCCCCCACATACAGCTCATTACAGTAATCAAGACTTGATAGGATGAGGGCATGATGGGCCACCATAGCTGGGTCATTTCTTTCCAACAGAGATCTCAGAAGACGACAGCTGCCCAAAAAGTGCTTTGGGCCACAGATGCTCTCTGGGATTCCAAAGATGGGGTCAAACCTAAAAGCTTCCCCCCAGGCTGTGACTAGGATCTATTGGGGGACGGCTACACCAACCAGAACGGACGATATCCCACCACATTCTGAAATGAAGAAGACCACACTGATATCACCTCTGTTTGGTCTGGATGGAGTTTGTTAATTTCTTTATAGCCCGTTACCAACAAAAAGGCATGGATTTTGGAGGGTTGGTTTAACAGTCTCCCGTAAGGCTTCCATTCCCACTTTCACCACTCACACTACAAACAGATCTCTCTCTGCTTTTTTCATTCTTCAACTCCATGTCCTTTGGCTGTGGCTGTTCTATGCTGCACGCAGAGGTCATTTCGGGGGGGGGACGCGGGGGAACGCAGTTCCCCCGGGTGACGTGCGGGGGGCGGGGCACATGACGAAGCCCCGCCCCCTGCTTCCGGCCGCCCCGCTTCCAGCCCTCATTCAGCCAGGAGGAGGCAGGAGAAGAGGGAGGGTAAGTTGCTTCCTCCCCGCCTCTCCCCACCCCTGCCTGCCTGGGGCCAGGGAGGGCCTTGGTGGGGCTTCCTCGCACTCCCGCTGGCCTTGCAGGTCCACCGCCGGGCCCCTGATGTCAGGGGGTGTGGCATATGCTAATGAGTTATGCTAATGAGTTCCCCTAGCTCTTTTTCTACGAAATGACCCCTGGCTGCACGGTTTCTTTTGATTCCATCACTATTTATTTATATCCCACCTCTCTCCCCAATGGAGACCCAAAGTGGCTTACATCGTTCTACTCTCTTCCGTTTTTATCCTCACAACCACCCTGTGAGGTAGGCTAGGCTGAGAGAGTGTGACTGGCCCAAGGTTATAACACAGCAAGTTTCTATAGCAGAGTGGGGATTCGAACCTGGGCTTCCCAGAGCATAGTCCAACCAACTATATCACGCAGGGTCTCTGACTAGAACACTAGAAACCACTAGAAAACTTAAGGATGACTGGCTGATATAGATGCAACCTTCACGCAGCACTTCTCAAAAAAACATTTCTTTGGATGCGGAAATGTGGTCTTACCAAGCGGTCGTGAGGATGAAGACTGCAATAGCTACTGGATTGTGGAATATGAGAAGAATTGCCCAACATCCCGCCATAACCAGGCTGATTCATTCCGCTGGAGGAGCTCCACGGATCACTGCTATGATGACCGTCTGTAAACAGAAAGAAACACAAAGCTTCTCTGAAGGCCTGCTGGTTTTCTAACATTTTGATGTTGTGTTTCCCAGCAAATGTTAAAATTAGCATTCTAATATGGGTTTGATGCGCACCTAATGTGTCACTGAGTCGCATAACGGGTTTACGTTAAAAGACAGTAATCTCGAACTGGAGGCTCTAAATCACCCTCCTGCTTCCTAAGGGCTACACTGATTTTGTATAAGTACATGTGCAGGGTAAAAAAAAGTTTACTAAACTGAACAGCAAATGACATTTCTCAAAGCACTGCAAAATGAGTCACAGCTCTTTATGTGCAAAGTCTTTCCCCCCCTTGAAAGTTTGTACTATTTTTATTCAGAACCTGAAAACCTTTACCATGTGTTGTTATAAACCTCTGCTGTAGCAAAAAAGAAAAGAAAAGATGACTAAGCATAGCACCAATTAATGTGATGTACGGAAAAGGATTTGGTTTTCCTGCTTACTGGAAATGGATTGCAGGGCTTGGGGGGGAGGGTTGATAACCTTAAGTAAAGACAAAGTAAAGGCATTACCAACCACAGGACTTTCACCTTCTCAGTAGGCATCCTGCTATAAATCCATGCATCATTACACCAAATACTTATGGGACTTGGTCATGGATGGGAATATATATAAAGTATACATAAAATCCCCCATTTCTTCTAAAAAGCTTGTGTGTGTGTCCACACCTGGAAGTCATGGCGACCTATGGCGACTGACCCCTACTGGGGGCCTGAAGGATATTCAGAGAGGTGGCTGAGTAAAGTCTGACTCTATCCTCCTTACTTGGTATTCCAAGCAAATCTCCCATCCAACTACTAACCACAGTCAACCCTGCTTAGCTTCCAAGATCTGACAAGATCAGGCTTGCCTGGGCTATCCAGGTCAGGGCTTCTAAGACGTTAGTTGAGCCACATGTGTGCATTATCTCACTTTTTTGATATGAAAAATCTACAAATCCTTTTGTCTGGTTGTCATGTTAATTGGTTCATAATGGTTTCAAGTGTGATTTTCAAAACCCCTTTCAGACAGACAGACAGACAGACCGAACATGGGAAATAGACAAGAACTTGTGACCCCTTCAGAACATGCTGCCGGAGCTCATCTTATAAAGCTGTTTCCATTGTTTGCTTCAAGCCTATGGGCTGTTTTGTGGATATCACGTTCATGCTTCTTAGAGTTGTTTTTATGCTGTCCTTACATTCCTACAGAGTTCCTGGCTTGTTTTTAGATTGATGATTTTATGGGCATTTTTTTAAAAAATGAATTCTCTTTTCATTCTGCGGTCCATCTAGAGGAGAACTTTGGAGGGGCAGGATATAAACTCACAGAATAATGAAATGAAAACCACTGAAACCCTAAAACCCTGATTTCAAAACATGAAGCGCTGGATCTTCTTGAGATTTATTGGCCCATCTCCCATTTGCATTGACACTCCAAATGTATGGTGATAACATACTCCAAGCAAACGTTAATGCCCTTCAGGAGATTTCCAGGTTTTTTAGAAAAGGTATGGCTGGGTGCTTACTGCAGACCTTACCTGCTAAAATAATTGTCAAATAAATTTAGAAAGCATATAGGGTTATAGCTTAGAACCTGCTGGTTCTCAAGCAGGACAAATGTGAATTATCTGTGTGTCCCCCACCCCACACACCCTTTCTTTTTTGTGGAGAGAATAGGAAGGGTTCCTGTTCCTGAGCTCTGTGACAGCTGATTAGTTGTGACCAGTGTTCCCTCTAAGCTGAGTTCGTGTGAGCTAGCTCACAGTTTTGTAGCCTCCGGCTCCCAGATTTTTGTCTTAGCTCAGGAAGGATGGCTCCAGGGCAAACTAATTTATGCAGTAGCCAAATTGCTCGCTCACAACTTTAATGCCAGTAGCTCACAAAGTGGAATTTTTGCTCACAAGACTCCACAGCTTAGGGGGAACATTGGTTGTGACAGCCGAGTGTGGCTGAAATGAATCTAGGTGCCCCCCTTGCCATGCAACAGACGAAGAAGTTATTTGCCAGGCAGGAAAGGGGCACCAGGAGACCGTTTTCTCCTGTACGCCTTGATTAACGGCACTGACAGGAGACCAAACAGGACATTTCAGAGCTCTGATGTCACTGCCAGATGCAGCTACGAGGATTTCCACCTCCTCTCCTTTGGCCACACTGCAGGTTCTCATGAATTTCTGCACTCATTACGATCCCATAATTTTAATTTTCGGGAGGGAGGATAACTTTATGCTCACAGAGAACTCCGGAGATGTCATGGGTAGTGCTGGACTTCAACGAGGAAGACTAGGGTTTGGATCCCCTCTCGGCCACGATGCTCCCTGTGTAGCCTGAGGTGAGCATAACCTTTCAGCCTCAATGACCTCACAGTGTTGCTGGGAGGTCGACGTTGTGGAAGAAACCATGCACACCACCCCCCTAAGCAATTTGGAGGAGGGCTAGGCTAATGTGATAGACGTGCATGTAAAGGTTTCTCTTGCTCGAAAGCCAGTCGAATCCGACTCTACGGATGCGGTGCCCATCTCCGTTTCCAAGCCGAAGAGCCAGCACTGTCCAAAGACGTTTCTGTGGTCATGTGGCCGGCATGACTAGACGCCGAGGCGCACGGAACGCTGTTACCTTCCCACCGAAGCGGTACCTATTTATCTACTTGCAATTTCTTGCTTTCGAACTGCTAGCTTGGCAGGAGCTGGGGCCAGAGACAGGGGCTCACTCTGTCATGCTGCACTCGGGTCTCGAACTGCTGAACTACCGAACTTCTGGTCTGCAGCTCAGCGTCTTAACCACCTAAGCCACCGCAGCCCTGATAGATGTGCATAACGCACACCAAACAACCTTCCAAATGGAAGGAACCGAGGCAGCCACTGTGGTATGGCAGAACTCCATGCATGCAGAAGAGCTTATTTTCTGAACTGGAGCCTATGTTTGTGTAGTGAATGGGGAGAGGGAGGGAGAGAGAGGGAGAAGAGGAGGAGACTGGATTTATATCCCACCCTTCACTAACCGAAGGAGTCTCAGAGCGGCTTACAATCCCTTTCCCTCCCCACAACAGACACCCTGTGAGGTAGGTGGGACTGAGAGAGCTCTGAGAGAACTGCCCTTGAGAGAACAGCTCTGAAAGAACTTTTGACTGACCCAAGGTCACACCAGCAGCTGCATGTGGAGGAGTGGGGGAATCAAACTCGGTTCTCCCAGATTAGAATCTGCGCTCTTAACCACTACACTATTAAAGAAATTTAAAATGATATAACACTCTTACTTCGATACCAAAAAAAATTGCTCCTATACTTGAAGCATTGGAAATATCTAGGTTAGCACCTTACTGCGACTTTGAATATGGGTTACACTTTTGAATGTATGGAGTATTGTTTGTCCCGACAACAAGCCTGTGAAACATACTATACTACTATGCCCATTTTCCAAATGAAGAACCAAGACCAGCGAATATCATCCTCTCATCAGAGCAAATGAATTATCATGCGGAGGTCTTCTGGATCCAGCACACTGCCCATCGGCTCCCCAAATCTGTGCACACAGAATCCCCATCGAAAGCATCCCCTGTACCTTGCATGAAGAAAGAACTAGGAAAAGTGCTGGCTGCTGGTTTTGAGGATGGGTAGCCTGGTGAATCCCGATTGTAGTCGGCGGTGCTCGCAGAAGGGGCATAAACCTACGGAGGGAGGGAGGGAGGGAGAGAGAGAAAGACATTTTAAGAACATAGCAAGAGCCCTGCTAGATCAGACTAATAGTCCATTTGGTCCAGCATCCTGTCTCACACAGTGGCCAACCAGTTCCTCTGGATGGCCAACAACAGGACATAGAGGTCGAGGTCTTCCCCTGATGTTGCCTCCTGGCTCTGGGATTAAGAGGATGGCTCTGAACATGAAGGTTCCCCTCAGCCACCATGGCTAGTAGCTGTGGATAGACTTATCCTCAGTGCTTTTTTTGTAGAAAAAGCACAGCAGGAACTCATTGGCATAATAGGCCACACCCAACAACAGTAACTCATTAGCATATCCAGCCACACCCTGACAGCATAGCTCATTAGCATATTAGGCCACACCCCCGTGTTACCAGAAGTGTGGTCATCCAGCCACACCCACCTTTTGCTTCTTATTCTGTTTACCTTGTTTGTTGTCAAAACCCAGGGCCTTTTTTTGGAGCAGGAACTCCTTTGCATGTTAGGCCACACACCCCTAATGTAGCCAATCCTAATGAGTTTCTGCTGTTGGGTGTGGCCTGTTATGCTAATGAGTTCCTGCTGGGCGTGGCCAACTTGGGAGCCAGCCGGAACTCCGCTCCTGTGTGTTCCTGCCCAAAAATAGCCCTGCTTATCCTCCACAAATGCATCTAACCCCCTTTTAAAGCTATTCCTGTGGCCATCACTACATCCTCTGGCAGCGAATTCCACATTTAATCACTCTGTGCGTAAAGATTTCCTTTTGTCCATCCTAGATCTACTGCTCATCAGCTTTGTTGGATGCCCTATAGAACTTTGGGAGAGGGAGAAAATGTTCTCTTTGTCAACTCTCTCCACCCCTTGCATAATTTTATACACTGCCTTCATGCCCCCCCAGCTGCTTTGTTGTATGGTTCCAAAAACTGAAATCCATTGAGAAGAACACTCGAGGAGTGCATCCGTGAGAAACACGGAAACATGGCAGCACAGGAACCACCAAGTAGTGGATTAGATCTGCTATATTTAAACACTCCAGACAACCTATGCATGAAAGAAGTGCAACCTTTTTCAACAATTGTGTTCTACTTTGTGGAAATATCTGGATTTCGTACTTTCAAAAGGACAAAACAAATAATAATTAAAGATAAGCAGGAAATCAACACTTCATCCCCACAACTGAAAACTGAAATTTAGAAAGCCGTACTCTCAAGCGTACTAAACATATCCTGGGATACTAAACGGCTATTAATCCTTGCTGAGGAGCTTGAAAGAACCATTACAAATCAGGACCAGCAGAAGACCACCAACAAAGTGTGCCTGCACTTTAGGGGGGAAGCCCTCTTCCTAGTACTTAGCTAAGTAAACTTAGCAAGTATGCCAAAAACTTAATTTACTTAATACTTGTTTACTGATACATCAGAGATTTCTTTTCCTGTTTCTTCACATACGCTAGATCCCTCCCAATTCATTTTAACAGAACAATATTAGTTTAATGCTGAGACCCATACAAAAGTGTAGTTTAACAGAGTTGTTTCATATTTGTGTTTGTTTTTGACTCCTACATGCAGATACCTGCACATTTCTAATATATGTTTCTGTTTTTGCAAAATTCCACACTCCAGATGGTCAAGGAGAGCAAAACATCCCCATCATCTCAGTGAAAATGGATACCTCCCTGCCTCCATTTTGAAACAGGCAGCAAATCACAAAATTGGCAGCGAGCCGACTCCCGCGTTCACAGGTCAAGAGCAAAAGGAAGGAAATTCACTGAACACAACAGTAAGAAGAGAGAAGCTGAAGGGGGGAAAGTCCCTCGCCAATTTTACAATAATTTCGTTCTGAGACGCAAACCACAAGCAAAGAGGGGGATCCTTACAATACTCATAATGACTAATTACCGGTTTTCTGCTGAAACAGAGATATCGAGAAAAGAAAGGCAGCACGCCTCAAAGTGAATGATCGGCAAGGTGGGGGTCCCCCCCCCCCCAATTTCCATGGACAGCAACGCATCACAGGGTACAATCTGCTCCAACGTTCTTGCATGTAAATTGTAATAGTGAAATCAGTTTTATTATTTTTTTAAGGACAAAAAAGTACTTAAAAGAACTCTGCCCAACTGAAAGGATAACCAGAGACAGACTAAAACGAGGGACCCGAGAGAATCTGGTGATGTCATGATTTATCCATTATGTTTTAATTAATTATTTATTAAGCGGTTTTATTATGTACATGAGCCCCGAGGGCCCCGGGCTTGTTTTAGAACTGGAAGTGCTACCATTATAATTACTACCGTGGATGCTACAGTGTATGTCAAAGTGAACTCTCTGAACCTGACTCAAATCCCCCCTGATCCAGTGTAAAAAAACCACACACAATTTTTGTCTTTTAGTTAGGCTTGACTGTTAAGTCCGGTTCTACTTTGTTTAAAAGTATCCTTCAATTAGAACAAAAACCCAAAAGCAATGAAAGAGTATTGCACTCTCTCTAGTCCCAAACTCCATGGATTTTAAAATATGTTTATCAAGAATGATGCCGAACTTGTGTGGAGATGAAGTGTGTTTGTGATGCTGAACTTTAGTGCTTTATCGCATGAGCTCAGGAGTTCTGGGCTGCAGCGGGCTATGCCGATCGGGTGTCCGCACTAAGTTCGGCGTCACTTGGGTAGGCGGGATCAGGGTCAGGTAGAAGCCCATTTGAAAGGAGACGATCCCTTAAAGATTTCAGAAGTTGTCTTTTCACTCAATGCAACTCTAACTATTCTACTGAACGTTATCATACATTTGTGCATAATGAATGCATGTCCAGAGGACAGTAGGATTGTGGCCTATCCATCAATTGGTCCTGAATTCACTGTAACTTCTGAAAGATCTCGCATGCATACAGACTGCACACACATGTACCAACAATCCATCATGCATGCAGAGCATATAAGCACAAGATAAAACATATGGGATTTTATGCACTGTTTTTTTTGTATTGTTATGACCTATGGTCAACACGATAAATTACTACTACTGCTACTACTACTATAAGTACATACACTTTGGATGCATATAGGCAGTTAGGAAAGCTATGCTGCGGCCCTGACCAGGATAGCCCAGGCAAGCCCGATCTTCTCAGATCTCGGAAGCTAAGCAGGGTCGACGCCGGCAAGTACTTGGATGGAAGATGTCTTTGGAATACCAGAGCTGGGAGGCGGGGGCAGGCTTTATTCAGCCACCTCTCTGAATATCCTCCAGTAGGGGTCAGTCGCCAGAGGTCACCACAACTTCCAGGTGTGCATGCACCCCCCCAAATAAATAAATAAATAAGCAAGCAAGCAAACAGCGAGGGCAGAGCCAGAGGCCACGATGGCCCCACATGCATGCTCACGATGATGCACACATGGAACAAGCATCCAGTCTTTGTAAAAACAAAGAAAAGCAATCACAACTACATTAATAGCTTAAGCAATAGCAGTCGCATTTCAAACGGGTAGAGGATTGAACGGTTGAGCCCTTATAAAATATTCCTCACCTGCACACACATATTAGGGAAAAATTGAATCTCTCAAACATTAAGGCTCAGATCCTACCAATAAATTCTGCGTATGCCAGCCTCTGCCACAAAGTGCTACCACTCCTGCTTTGCGCCGAGGCTCACTGCAGAACACTGGTCTTGTGTAAATGGGAGTGCGAATGCGAGAGGAAGTGTGCTCTGCAGCAGAGACTACCTAGGGCACATGGAATTTGTTCACAGGATCCAAGCTAGGGCTGCCAACTTCTGGGTTGGGAATAACCTAGGGATTTTGGGGATTGACCCTGAAGACAGTTGGGTGGGTGGGTGGGAACCTTAGCAAGGCATAATGACATAGATTCCACTCTCCAAAGCAGCCATTTTCTCCAGGGGAAGTGATCTCTGTCATCAGGAGCCCAGTTGTAATTCTAGGAGATCTCCAGGCTCCACCTGTAGGCTGGCAATCCTAATGCAAGCCTATCCTAGTTTTGCATGTAGTCTGATATCCTAGTTTTGCATGTAGAGATAGCATATTTTGTGGGGGGCCCACTGAATACATTGAACTGAGAATGCAATGGTATGCCCCTGTAGCAGACACATCACCGTAGGGTTTGTGTTTGTCTGTTTTGAGTTCTCTTAGTGGAGGGCCATGAGCCCGTCGTGACTGTCTTGGGTGCATATTGTCAAGAGTGCAGATAACCCTGGCGGCCACAGCTTCAACTCAGTACACGTTGACTGAACACTGCAGCTGTTGTGAAAACAGACTTTCATCAATACCAGATTCAATGGATGCAATTTTTTTTTTGCCGTGGTGATTTCTTTTCTTTTGCTGTTCAGTCACAGCTGACTTATGGTGACCCCCAATGGTTTTCAAGGCAAGAGACATCAGAGGCGGTTCGCCATGGCCTGCATTTGTATAGTGACCCTGACTTCATTGGTGGTCTCCCGTCCAAATACTGACCAGGGCTGACTCTGCTTAGCTTACAATATCTGACGAGATCGGGCTTGCCTGGGCCATCGAGGTCAGGGCAGTGTCTACTTACATTGCGGAGAATTACTATTGTGCAGGGCTATTTTTGGGCAGGAACGCACAGGAACGGAGTTCCGGCTGGCTCCTGAGTTGGCCACACCCAGCAGGAACTCATTAGCATAATAGGCCACACCCAACAGCAGAAACTCATTAGGTGTGTGGCCTAACATGCAAAGGAGTCCCTACTACAAAAAAAGGCCCTGGGTTTTGACAACAAACAAGGTAAACAGAATAAGAAGTAAAAGGTGGGTATGGCTGGATGACCACACTTTTGGCAACACGGGGCTGCAACCTAATATGCTAATGAGCTGTGGTGGCAGGGTGTGGCCTAATATGCTAATGAGTTTCAGCTGTTGGGTGTGGCCTGTTATGCTAATGAGTTCCTGCTGGGCTCTTTCTACAAAAAAAGCCCTGCGTATTGTGCATTTAAATTCTGTCAACACATTTTTGGGGGAAATCTGTATCG